TTCGTTTCGGGGCGAACACGCGGACACGTACGGAAAGGAAGCACCGTGAAACTCACAAAATTCACTCCGCGCACCTCATTATCCTCGTTTCTGGTCCATTCCGCGCGTCGCCGTTCCGCTAAACCAGTCACCAGGCGCTATCGTTCCTTTCGCGCACACCCCTCTTCGACGAGTCACGAGGATACCCGGGAACGGTTTTTCCAAACCGGATCGTCTGTCCACGATTCACACTTGTACACCGGCTTCAGGCACACGCGCACGCTCGCGCAGACCGCGAGTGGTGACCGCGACTAGCACGAGGACGAGCACGACGGGCACGACGCGAGGAAGCACCACGGCGAGAACGACGACGACGACCTGGACAACGACGACGCGGGCAAACAGCGCGACGACATCGTAGTAGCCGGTGATCGCGAACGCGAGCGTGTGTACTACGCGCGACCGATCGAGCGACGTCGCGTCGAAGCCGCGGCTCGAGTTCTCGTTTCGATGGAACCTCGTGTGCCGAGCGAACGAGGGTGGAACGGATGCACTACCCCGAACTGTGCGGCCCAACAGGTAGAATTAAACCACCCAAAGTTTGGGCAGCCGCTGCAAGCAACAAACGAAGCAGCCTCACGGTGCTCTCTCGGATCGTTCTCTCTTCTCTCGGGATACGGCAACATGGCCGCCGTCGCCGCCGCCTCCCAGCATCCCGCTCTTGGCTCCGTGTCTCGAGTCCCCTCTCTTCTCTCCGCCGTCCACACGCAAGCACACACACACTCTACCGATGCTTCCTCTCTTTCTTTCCTCTTCTTCGTAACCGCGTTTTTCTCTCTTTCTACGTGTCAGCCTCCCTCGCTCCCGAATCTCCTCGCTGCGTCTCGCTTCGCCCGAACCGTCTTTCCTCGTCCGCTTACCTGGCCACCCTACGACGCCTCCCCATTTCGGCTCTTTCTCCGTTCATCCACCTTCTCTGTCTCTCCCGTTCGCGATCCCCTTCTCTCTCTCTCCATCTTTCTCTTCACCTACCTGTAGCGCTCTCTCGACGTACTCCCACTCCTCCGGGAGAGAATCCAGCAATAGGCACCGAC